TATATAAGATATATAGTTTTTATAATAATAATAAAAAAATTATATATATATATATATATATATGTTATTTGGCACCTGTGTAGAGGCTCATGTCGATTTAAATTTTTTATTCCATTTGTAATAATATATATTTTTAAAAATGGCTTCATTTATTTTTTAAGGCTACTGGGAGTTTTTTTTGGTTTTTTTTTTTGGACACATTGCATTTGGAATACATTTAAACTTATCGGAGCTTATTATGCAGATAAATAAGTATGTGTTATTTGTTTTTTTGTCTCACTGTCAAACACCATGTGACACAGAATTATGTTTTTGTTAGGGTCATTTTTGTTTCTTTTACATTTGGTTTTGGTGGAATATCAGCAGAAATGTTTTGCCTCTTGGACTTTTTTTTTATGACATTTGGAAGAAACATTTTGAATAATGTTGCATTTTGCATCTCTGGAGACGCTCACGTGTCTTAAACTCTTCTGCTGATCGGCCGATGCATCAGAATCGACTCGTGCTGCAGAATTGAGAGAGAACACCAGAAGGAGCTTCATCTGCTCTCGTTAGGACTGAAGCCGGTTCCCGTGCTCTTCAGGAGCTCGTTAGCATGTGTTAATGCAAACCAGTTCATGAGAACTTCCTCCCTTCAGATGATTTTCAGATGATTCGCTGTGGAGTGTTTGCACTGCAAAAAATGATGCTCTTCCTCAGTATCTTTGTCTTGATTTCTAGTACAAATATCTAAACATCTTTAACCCTTTGGTGCTCTACGAGCATTTTTGACTGAAAAATGTTGGTTGTTTCGAATTTTCACTCACCGGAAACGCAGTGAATTTTTTGGCACTTGCTGTGTTTACACATGAAAATCATGGACATGATTTGAAAAAAAAAAACTCACACTTTTACGGTTCATGTCAAAAATGACGGTGTTCATCTCGTGGAAACGTTTGGTACTGCGGCCAAACAAGATCTTACCAAAAGCTCATATTTTGTGATATCAACCTCAAGTTTGAAGTACAATTTTGTACATTCATGGCTTTGAATTTCTAGGAGTTTCAGAATAAAACATGTTTTGGAAAATATATATTTCATATACAATTTGAAAATAGTATATATATATATTTTTTTTTACTTTTTTACTTCAGCAATAATAAAAAGTGTCTTCTTTAAAAGAGACCAAACTTAAGTCTGTGTTCCAAAGCATTCAAGATTTATGAGTTTAAGTTGTGCTCAGAAAGTGGTTAACAGGTAATAAATGTATTATAATCCGTGTTGGGGAACGCTACTTTTAAAAGTAATGTATTACAATATTGTGTTACTCCATAAAAAGTAACTAATTGTGTCAGTTACTTTTTGTGATATTTTTGGCAACTATAAAGAGTCCGTTTCACAGTAAAAGTGAGCTGAATAATCCTCAGACTGAAGGAAGAGTCTCTGATTTCTCTCAACATGAGGACAGGAGAGTCACTACATGAGAAACAAAGGCACTGCTGCTACTTATTTGAAAAAGTAACTCCGATATTTTATGGTAAATTTAAAAGTAATGCATTACTTTATTAGTTGCTTGAAAAAGTAATCTGATTACATAACTTGTGTTACTTGTAATGCGTTACCCAACACTGGTTATAATTGCTGCATGCATATCATTTGGTACCATAAAATCCCCTAAAAGTGCAAATTAATTTAATTGAAGAAAAAAAACGGCCATTTTTGATCACCGTGTGAGCAGCACCAAGTTGCATTTACTTATTTTCTGAAAACTTGCGTTTATGCTTAAAACAAGAAAAAATTTTTGTAAATTTCAGTGCGTGCGCTCAGAAAAATAAACTAATTTTCCTCAAGTTTATTTGCAGGAATTTTATATATTAAGTTTATTTTGACCCCATCAGCAGATTTTTTTTTCTTGTTTTATGCATAAACTCACTTAATTTTGGTATATTTTTCAGAAAGCAAGCTTTAATATATTTTGTCATTTTGCTTTTGTCTTGATTTAAGGATATTTATACTGAAAAAAAATTTGCAGTGTAAATTTCGCAAAACAGGAATATTTCACCTGAAGATGAAGACTTTAAGCATTCCTCTTCCTGTCGCTCCAATTCAGCTTCCTGTGTGTTGTGACTAATTCAATTCAAATTCACACTCATAATTCAAAGTTTTGAAGCACAAAATTGCACTGGAGCTCATAATTATTGTTCTTATTACGACTGCCACATCCGATTAGCAGCCTGACTGACTGAATGAGTGAATGAAGAAATACAGTATCGTAATGAATTACATTTCATAGTCTGCTCGATTACAGATGGGGGGAGTTTATAATCGAGCGATTTGCATTATTGATGTGATGCCAGAGTGCAGGAGCGTCTCTCACCTCGTACGAGTCTCCCTTTATCTGGTCTGCTGTGTGATGATTAATAACGCTGAAGGATTGTCTTGAGTTCTGGGAGTTTTCTGTGTATGGATATGCATTAGTTCATCTCACTCACAAAAAACAAAAAACACAGATTCAGTATTCCTCAAAATGAATAAAAATAATGCAACTCTGCAATAATTAAATGTTAAACAACACAAATATCCTTTATGTGTTTAATCCCATTCTATTTGCTTCTGACCTTCTATGATCCAGTTCAACCGTACTAATAAGCACAAATTACTCTAGACAAACATTTGTGTCTTTTTTTATTGCTGAAGTGTGTTGAAATGTCTTCTTCTGCATTCTACTGTACGGACGTAAATGTACTTTCCTAACCTAACCCTAACCCAATCAACCAACCAATCAACCAATCAACCAACCAACCAAACAATCAACCAACCAATCAATCAACCAACCAACCAACCAATCAATCAATCAATCAACCAACCAACCAACCAACCAACCAACCAATCAACCAACCAACCAACCAACCTTTAAAGGTAAATCAAGATAGATTTACTTGAGATGCCAAATGAAGATAGTTGTTGTTTTATAAGTCTTGTTTATAAAGACTTGAGTTTATGCTTGAAACATTAATTATTATTTTTCTGAGCCAGTCGGCAGATATTTGTTCTTGTTTTAATCATAAACTCACTTCATTTTAATAAATTTCTCATAAAACAAGACTTTTTTAAATCTCATGTCATTTTGCTTGTCCAATAAATGTATTTTGATTGATTTAATAATCTTTAGTCATTTGCACTGGAAAAAAAAATACTGAGGAAAAACATGAGTTTTTTTTTTTACTTGGTCATAAATAGCTCTTTAAAAAGTCTTGAATTGAGCTTCATACACCTGCAGAAACCCTGTATCAGCTGTAGCTTGAAAACTAAATCCATAAAAATAAACATTTACGTTACTTGAAATAAAATATAAAAAAAAAATGTAAAGGGTTAGTTCAGCCAAAAATAAAAATTAGGCTGTGTTAAGCTACATTAAAGTGATTGTTACGTTTTGAATATGGACATTTTTCTTACAAAAACGCATTGATTCGCTACAGAAGGCCTTTGTTCTCCCCCCGGAGCCGTGTGAGACACTTTCTTTATGGAAGGGTGCTTTTTATATAACTTCTTTTGGACTGAAGCACTGCAACACCCGCTGAGTGCAATGATAGAGCTTGAAAGATCAAAGACAATTTTTAATATAACTCCGACTGGATTCGTCTGAAAGAAGAAAGTCATATACACCTAGGATGCTTCGAGGGTGAGTAAAACACAGCCTAATTTTCATTTTGGGGTGAATTAACCCTTTAACTCCGCTCGTTGTCTAGGCATCATTTTCTTGTAGTTTGATAAAGTATTAAAACAGAAATAAAACTTAATACAAATTAGATAAAAAAAATATAGGACATAAATAATAACAAAAACTAATAAAAATTACAAAAACATAGCAAAAATTACTAAAATGTAAAAATAAAACTATAAAACCTATAATAATACATCAGTAATACTAAACGATCACTTTTAAGTTAATGTTTAACATTCACATATTCACAGTTTTCTTATTGGTCTCATGACATACAGGAAAAATACTGTATCTTTTTAAGGAGCTCTTGGAGTTAATATGAATTATTAGTTAATATTTCAATAATTCACATGGTTCTCTTATGTGACTTTGTTTAATGGCCACATGACATGCAGGCAAACAAATAAAATATTTAATATATTTTTAGTGAGTGTTTTATTTCGGTTGTTTCTATTTACAGTTTTTTTTTTTGTGTAATTTTACAGTTTTTAATAATTGAATTAATGATCAGTTTTTCGTGCTCTCACAGAGCTGTGTTTGAGAACGCCTGGTTTTCGCTGATGCTCCATTTGTTCTTTTTTTTCTCTGGTTATTAAACATCCTGCCACTGGTTTCCTGTATAAATCGAGGCTAATCATTGGCTCGGCA